CCCCCCCCCGTAAATTGCTACAGTGTATAGGGGGAAAATCTCTTCAGGCTGTTCTCAGTCCAAAAGTGATGGTATGTGTGGGTGATTGTTTTTGGTGGTTTCCTTTTACAGAGTTTGAGTATTCCCAAGTACCAGTTCTCAAACTGTTTGCAGTTGTGTACCCCTATGATTCCGTGTTACGAACAATAAAAAGTAACCTGTTGCTATAACTACACTGCAGCCTTTTCAGCAACCTAACAGATGTTTTTCTTTGTTCTTCCTTCTCTTAGAACGTAAGAGATGCTGTACTGGGTCAGAACATAGTCCATCCAGCCCGGTATCCTCTTTCCCACTAGCAGCGTGGCTGCTAAGGGGAACAGTATTTAAGCAGGGCATAGCGAGAGTAATGCATTCCCTGCACCTCTCCCCTTACAGTGTCAAACAGAGGCCTAGATTGTCTTAGTCAAAAGTGCAATCTCAACATGATCATATTTAATACCCACTGATGGACCTAACCTCCATGAATTTGTCCAGTCTCCTTTTGAACAAAGTTAGGTTATTAGCAGGGATCCTGGCTTTCTCTGTTTAAAAATTGCAAATTCTCCGATTTAAAACACCACAATTCATGTTTTTCTGTGATTAAAATGAAATGCCGCTCTCGCTCTCTCTCTCTCTCTCTCTTTCTCTCTCTCTCTCTCTCTATATATATATAGGGGTCAGTTAAACAAAATGGTTTATTGAGATATTTACAATTTTAAGGCAGTTTGGAAGCCTACCAGTGCCTCAGTCACTATAATAAAATTCTAAATAGCTATAAATTTTAGCGTTTTGATTTTGGGTTTTTTATCATGGAAAATCAGGGCTCTCACTGTCCCCTTTGCTGACCACGATGTGGGTCTAGCTGTGGCTCTTCCCCCCACCCCGACATACTCTGTTTTGTGGTGTTGAGAAGCCCTGATATGCCAGTGCTCTGCCTATGCCATGACCCCTCACTCCCTACCCACAGCCCCCTAGGCCATGCTGGTGTCCCTCACTCCCCAGTCACAGCCTTCCCCCCCACCACACACACCCCTTCCCTGCTGGAGGGTGGACCCCAGCTGCCAGGGCTATGGGGCCAGAGACCTGGGTCTGCAGTCCCCTGCCCCTCGCAGCAGCTACTGGATGGGCAGGGAGCACTTTGCCATGGCAGCATGGGGCTCCCAGCGGTGGCAGCACTGAGCTTCTGCACCCCACTCTGCCCTGCCACGCTGGGTCCCGCTTCCTGGGGCACAGAGGCCCCAGGGGAAGGACAGTCCAAGCCTGCAGCAGGCAGCCTACCCTGTGCACAAATCTGGGAGGCATGTGCCCTCCCCCAGGAGCATACACAGCGGCGGGGAGCCAGCCCCACCACCAGCTGCCCTCCGGACTAGCTGCCTGCGGCCCCGTCCCACTCCCTGTCCAGGCCCTGCAGCCACGCATTCCAGCCCCAAGCACAATGTGCTGCCCTGGCTGGGCAGCAGTCCCAGCCCTGCCCAATTCCCTCCCTCCCTCACTATAGGGGCCTCAGTTCTCCCTCCCCACGCCCCTCTGCACATGGTACCCCCTGCCTGATTTTTCAAATCAAGACAGGCATATTTTTAAAAGCTACACTTTTGTTCAACATGAAATTATTGGGATTGTACAGGAGCAATAGGATGAAATTCTGTGCCCTGTATTGGATGCAAAGTCAAACTAGATAATCTAACAGTTCCTACTGTCAGTTTGATGGATCTTTGAAAAGAGTGCATATTCAGGGCCATCATCACATGTTAACAAGCATCTGAGTCTGCACATCTTCAAATATATATGCTGCCATCAGCTTCCATGATTGTACCTGTAGAACTCTGCCATATTCTCCATGGCTTGTTCAGAAAGTACACCTTTTCTCTGCAAGCCGCAACAGTCCATTCCATAAAACAGTAAATGTATCCTAAGTGCATCTGTTCTGAAGAGCAAAAGCATGTGCTTTGTAGGCTATTACTGTAATTGCACAAAAAAATCCTGTAGTTAAATGTTTCCATTATTTTTCAGGTCATAACTGGGCTCCTCCGCAGAGCAGATGAGGTGAGGGGAGTGTTTTTGTATTTTGTTTTTAATTTGTTTTTGAGGAGAACATCTTGGGTGCTTAGAGGAGTCTCTGGGTGTCAGCTGGCTGCTGCAGGTATTATAGCTCCATAATCTAGGGATGACTTGCTGGGTGATGATGAGCTGGTTATGCAAGAGTCTTGCTGTCTTGCTTACTGCTCTTCATTCCTTTTCTCAGTGAGTGGAATGGTTCCCAGTCAAGACAGAGGGGAAGTCTCTGGTTGCAGAGCAGGGAATATTGAGAAGCCAACCACAAAACTTTCGAAGGACCATGGACCAGCTGTGCATAGCTTTTTTGCTTGCTTGTTTGTTTGGCAGCAGAGCTGAACCAAAACAACATACTATTTCCTATATTTGTATGGACTTAAAATGGAATTTAGTGTGGCCCATGCTTCTACCCCTTTATGATCATTTTATATCAGTATTTGAGCAGTGAATTTCTACTTGGATAAGTGTTGCAGAAGGCAGTGTGAAGCACTCCATGCTAGAATATTTGCATTGGGAGTGGTATATTTTGTAATGGATAGGACAGTGCTAATTAATAAAGTGGGGGAAGATTGCTGGCAAAACCCAGCAAAAAGTCAATAAAATCATCAAGACAAGGATCTGATGACATTCTTGGCAACAAAAATTGTGCCTGTTTATGCACTGACTCCATCTGAATGTGACAAGACAAAAATTGGAGTTGAACAGTGCAACTGAATCACTGCTTTTTAATTGTCATTTTAAAAACCTTCACAGAGGTGCATTTTTACTGCAATATTGTTACAGTTACAGATGATCCCTAAGACCCTTATCATTTAAAGATATTACCATTACAAAATAACACTATTTGGGTCTTTCCTCACATTTTACATTTAGCAGCACTTCGGAAGTTAGTGCCTTGTGATGCAGCTGTACTGATTTGTAATGCAGAATATCCCTGGGCCCAGCATTATTTTGCAGAGTGCTGCATAGCAGCCCTAGCCAGTCATTCTGTGGTTTTTAGGGCCCCAGAATTTTCCAGCACCAAGGAATTCTGTCCAGGGGGTTGATCTATATGTGATGGTTCCTGCAGGACTGCCTATCCACCTGTGCTTTTCTGTCCCTTTGTACTTGGGAGGCATCTTACTAACCCTATTTTGTATGCGAGGTTATTAAGGCTGCTGAAAAGATGTCCTTTTTAATAGATGGAGAAGGCAGAGCAGGAGTAAGTGGGCCTACAAACAGCCTGTCTTCTACAAGCTATAAGACTACTCTGGGGAGAATGAGCAGAAGGAGCTTGGGGGGGTGTAAGATCTTACAAATGAAGGGAAAATGGTTCAAAGTGATAGCAAGGGGTTATCATTGAGCTAATGTGGATCTGCAGTTGACACAGTGCCCTAAGTAGCTGTACCTATCAGGGAGATGGTGCCTTGTGATATACAATAGTTTACGCTGATTTGCTGACACTTGAGGGAGCACAGTTTAGGATGATGTGTGTTGCACTAACTCACTCCAGCAATGAGGCCTGTACAGCAGGGTGATACAGGAACCAACACAGGTGACAGCCTCCAAAATCAAAGCCACTGCTGCTTCATGAGTTGGCTTGCAGAGGAATCCATTAATATCCTTTTTTTGCTTAAGTGAGAAAATCTCTTTGCAATGCAAGGTTTCTCTATCAAGGGAGCTTCTACGAAGTTAAAAGAGATTTAGTGCTTCAGGATGGGGGAAGAAAGCAGAATGCTGACAGATTCCATACATTAGTTAGCACATATCTGCCAACCTGTATGTAAAAACACCCCTGATGATTAGAGAAAGCTCCTCTGTAACCAGTTGGCACTGGTGGGTTCAGAGACTTGGATGCCATGTTCTGAGTCATTGTGTATTACTGCCTCATTTCAGGAAGTGTCTGATTGCTTAATGCCAACGGGTTGATACCAGACACAGCTGTGTTCTCCACACAGAAAGCTTAATTCAGCTGATGCAAATGTTAATTTACTCTTCTCATGTTTCCAGGCTGCCTTCAGTAAGATTCCAATTGGATTCATACCCCTTGGGAAGACCAGTACCCTGAGCCACACACTCTACCCTGAAAGCACAAATCAAGTCCAGTAAGTGTTGTGTGCAAGAGGGAGGGATGCTTTGGTTTATTGTTAAGGAGAGCAGTGCTTGGAAAGTTAGTACCCTCTCCTGCCTTTCATCCTCTTTTCTATGGTAATTGCGGCTCTTTAGAGTTGGGCCTGAGAGTGGGACATGATGCTGAAAGGTGGAAAATATTAAACTGAGGGAAACTTTTTTGTTGTTGTTGTTTTAAATAGAAGGCACAGTCATCTTGTGAAACCCTACGATGCCATTGAAACCAGATGTTTGGTCAGATTTAAAAAAGGCCTTCCTGTGTATAATGTCAGCAGCCACAATTAAATGGATTAAGGCTAGTGAACAACCTGTATGACCCATGAATTCTGGAAAGGACATAAATACTCATTCTTTGGAGTTATAACAGGGGCAGGCAAAATATGGCCCATTGGCCAGATCCGGCCCACTGGGCCATTGTATCTGGCCCGCAGGGCCCCTAAAAAATTTAGTAAATTTAATATTTATTTGCTCCTGCCTGCCTGTCAAAGATGACAGGAGCCAGGAGCAGTAGGACCCAAGGGGAGCCGGTAGCAGGACGGAGCAGCCCAACCCTGCCCCCAGCCATTTCCCTGCCTTCTTGCTCCTGGCTGCATTACGGAACCGGGAGTATGGGGCTGTGCCAGTACCCCGGGGGGG